GTTTGATAGTACTGTTTTCTTGACTTTTAAGTTCATTCCACCAAAAAAATACAATCACTTAAAAATCATATAAGTGAAATAAACCCGAAAATAAATCGACTTATCGCAAACCTAGCTAACGAACAATCCTATACTCTTATCCCCATTTATGTCCTAAATCAAAGCATTAAAAAATCCTAGCATTCATAATAATAATAATAAATATACGACAACATTATATATTCTTAGGCTTCATATAGACACACATCGACGTGTAAGATTTGAAGTTCGCCTCTACATATTGTCAAATCTTATTCCTTTTCAATTTTGATAAAAAAATGTTTATGAAATAAACACGTCGAAACTGCTTCAGGTCCACTTATAATTGCATATTTGCTCATCACGTGTACGTAGCAAAAATCGAAAGTAGAATAACTGAAAACTTTCTTTTCAATTTCAAGAAATCAAAATATTTATTGTGGCTGCTGTCTTTCCCCTTACATTTTAACTGTGTCAGATATTTTGTCTGAAACTGCCACCTCAGTCACCTATATCACAAAATTCACTCTCCTGTCTCCATGAAGCCCATATTTTCTGGCAACATGAATCTCTCCAAAACCTTAACCAGAGGGCCAACTGTATTATTTCTTAAAAAAGCACCAGAATTGATTGCGAATCCCACATGGGTCCGTCAATTTCATCGCTCTAATGCAAAATTTCCTGTAATTTTTTGCTCTAAACAAGATTATTCTCCATCTGGGCATACTTTACTGCGTGCCGTTGCATCAGATTCTATTTCTGGTGTGCGTCAGCAAGAAAGGATGGAGAACGTTGAAGAGGGTATAGAGAAGGTAATATAATGAAAATCTGGTATGAAAATTTTGTTTGAATTGATTGAACTGAATTGATGTTTTGTCGCAGGTTATTTACGGGTGCCGTTTCTTCGCAATTCTAGCTGTTTGGGGGTCTCTGGTTGGATCTTTTCTTTGTTTTATCAAGGTAAATATCACCATTGATGACCTAAAATATTCCCTCTTTTTTTCTTTTATCTACCATTTGTTTATAATTTGGGCAATCATGGTACTTGTCCAGTTTTCTTGACTGTTTTTTTTTTTTTTT